ATGGGAAAGTCTGCTGTTAGGGACCTCTCTAATGTAATGAAGAGCAATGGTGTGTCTCTGGAGACTAAGGTGTGTCTGATACAGGCCATGGTCTTTGCAATCACTTCTTATGCATCAGAGTGTTGGACAATGACTAGGGAGGATAGAAGGAGAATTGATGCCTTTGAGCTTTGGTGTTGGAGAAGAGTTTTGAGGGTACCATAGACTGCTAAGAAAACAAACAGATTCATCCTGGAGAGGGTTAAACCAGGGTGCTCCTTGGTGGAGGGCGGGCGCAGGAGGGGAAGGCCCACTAGGAGGCGGTTTGATTTGGTGACTGGGGTAATCGGGATGAGTGTGTCCGAGACAATGAGATTAGCACAGGACAGAACAGAGTTTAGGGCTGTTGTACATTGGGTCACTATGAGTCACAAGCAACTCGACAGCACACAACAACAACAACAACAAACCAAGTGTCTGCAAGAGATCCATATTTGTTCCCATTCAAAACAAAGGTGATCCAACAGAGGAAATTATGGAACAATATCATTAGTATCACATGCAAGCAAAATCTTACTGAAGGTTATTCATTAACAGTTGGAACAATAGATTGCCGAAATTGCTGGAAACTCAAACTATATTGAGTAGAGGCTATGAAATGAAGGACATCATTGCTAATGTCAGAAGAGTCTTGGCTGAAAGCAGAAAAAATACCAGGAAGATATTTACTTTTGTTTTATTGACTGTGTAAAAGCGTTTGACGTGTGTGGATCATACCAATAATGAATAAAATGAAAAAGAACGGGAATCCCTGAACACTTAGTTGTGCTCATGTAAAGCCTTTACACAGAACAAGAAATAGTTGTCCAAACAGGACGAGGAACTATTGCATGGTTTAAAGTCAAGAAAGAGTTGTGAGAAACTGTGCTGCAATCCTGAAAGCACAGTTTGCTCGCACCAGCTGCTCTACGAGAGAAAGATGGCAGTCTTGAGATTTACTGCCTCTGAAAACCCACTGGAAGGTCAGCTGTGGGTCAGTTCTGATTCAACAGTGCACAACAGCAGTTCAATATGTATGCTGAACAAATCATTCTAAAAGCCGTGCCCTATGAAGAAGAATGTGGCATCAGCATTGGAAGACTCAACAACATGTGTTGTGCAGATGACACAACTTTGCTTGCAGAAAGTGAAGAAGACTTGAGGCACTTACTGAAGAACATCAAAGACTACAGCCATTAATATGGATATTTATTACCATTAAAACAAAAAAATCCTCACCACTGAACCATGATATAATGAATTATGATAGATGGAGAAAAGATTGAAGTTGTTAACAGTTTTATTTTACTTGGATCCACAGTCAATACCCATGGTAACAGTAGTCAAGAAACCAAAAGGCGTTGCATTGGGAAAATCTGCTGTTGAGGAAATCTTTAAAGTACTAAACAACAGGAATGTCTGTTTAAAGATTAAGATGTGCCTGATTTAAGCCATAATATTTTCAGTTGCTTTATAGGCATCTGAAAGTTGGACAGTGAAGAATTGATGCCTTTGAATTGTGTTGATGACAAAGCATATTAACTATGCCTTGGATAGCCAGAAAACAAAAAAAATAAAAAGAACTTTGAGATTAGCACTTGAGTTTTGGTTCATCTGATTTTCAAGGTACAGAACTTTGTGGTTATGTGCTTTTGAGTCACCTGAGACTCATAGCAACCCTATGTACAACAACTCTGAAGCATGTCCTGTCCTGAGCCAGCCTCATTGGCTCTGATGCATCTAGCGCCATTGCCCCAGTTATTGTATCAGTCCATCTCATCCAGAATTTTTCTCTCTTAAGCTGTCTGTTCACCCTTCTGAGCATTATATCCTTATCCAAGGATTGTTCTTCCTGGCCACATGCTCAAAGAATATGAGACAGAGAATCCTAGCCTCCAAGGAGAAACTCGGTTTCAAGAAATTTAATATTACCCCCAAGTGCCAGTTTCCCTTTTTATACAATAAATAGACCTTCCCCTCCTCCCCATGATTGTCAGGTAATTGTATTTAAAGAATTTGGCATAGAGTTTGGCCCATAATAAATACATTATTAATGATTACCGTTATTGTTACCTCACAGAGAGTGCTCTCTAAATTTAGTGTATATTCCTTTTTCTCTCAAATACACTAACATGAAATTACAGTCACAATTATATTATGCCACTTTGTTACATAATGTTAGTGTTATACAGTGTAACTTTAAAGACTAATGGAAAGAAAAAAACAGTTTAAAAGGAATATATTAGGTATTATCTGTATGAAAACAGTCTGGAATAAGAGGTGTATAACAAAGTGTACTGGGAGGGAGGGAGGAAATTATGCAACAATGAATTGTTTTCTTTTTTAAGTGAACTGGGAGGGGGAGAGTAGGGAGGAAAATATGCAATAATGAATGAATAAAAATCCAACCTTTTGTAAACTTTCATTAAAATCACAAAAGAAAAAATGAAATAATATGGGCCCTGGTATTTTCTGTTGCTTCATATATATTGTGAAAGTTGTACAATGAATCAGGAAGATTGAAGAAAAATCGATGCCTTTGAATTGTGATATTGGCAAAGAACATACCATGGACTGCAAAAGAACAAATTGTTTTGTTAAAAATGCAACAAGAGGGCTCCTTAGAAGCAAGGATACTTCATCTTGTATACTTTGAGCTTATTATCATGATTGCCTGAGCCCTGGCATAGGAAGGCCATCATGGTTTTAAAAAAACAAATGCTACAAAAAAATAGGAAAACTCTCTATGAGAAGGACTGATATAGTGATTATCACATAGAGAAATATAATAGGAAATTACAATCTCTACTAAGCACTGGATGTCTACATTTTAAAAAAAATATTGTAGGCTGCAGCAGTATAAGTCAGTTGAATCAAGCAGTACAGTAACTTCTTGTTATATCCTGTCGAGTTGCCTGCTACACATAGCAATTCTTTGTACAACAGCCCTAAACGCTGCTCTATCCTGAGCCAATCTCACTGTCTTGAACACACCTAACCCCATTACCCTAGTCACTGAATCACTTCATCTCATGCTGGGTCGTCCTCTACTGCACTGTCCTTCCACCCTCCCAAGCATGACGTCCCTCTCCAAGGACTGGTTCCTCCTTGCAACATATCCAAAGTATATTAGACGAAGCTTCAGAATCCTTGCTTCCAAGGAGCAGCCTGGTTCCACCTTATCCAGGACAAACCTGTTTGTTCTCTTAGCAGTCCATGGTATATTCAGTACTCTTCTCCAACACCGCACCTCAAAGGTATCAATTCTCTTTCTATCATCCCTAGTCATTGTCTAGCTCTCTGATGCATAGCAAGTAATTGCAAAGACCATGGCCTGTATCAGGTGCACCTTAGTCTCCAGACTGACATCATTGTCTTCAGTACTTTGGAGAGAGATCTCTGATATCCGACTTTCCCAATGTAATATGGGAATCCCAGAACACTTGATCGTGCTTATACAAAACCTATACTTATACAAAACCTATACTTGGAGCAGGAGGCAGTCATCAGAGCAGAGCTGGGAAACAGTGCATGGTTTGAATTTGGGAAGGGTGTGCACCAGGGCTGTATCCTGTCTCCATACCTTTTCAATCTATATGTAGAACAGATTATCCAGGAGTCTGGGATCTATGAGGAGAAATGTGGCATCAGGATTGGAGGAAGACTTATCAACAGTCTACGTTATGCAGATGACAAAACCCTGCTTGCTTAAACTAAGGAGGACCCTGAAGCACTTTTGCAGAAGGTCAAGAACTGCAGCCTTCAATATCGATTGAAGCTCAATATCAAGAAAACAAAGATTCTCACCACTGGGCCGATTGGCTGCATCATGATAGATGGTGAAGAGATTGACATCATTAACAACTTCAGTTTGCTTGGCTCCACAATTAACACTCTTGGTACCAGCAGCCAGGAAATTAAAAGACGAATTGGATTGTGAAAGTCTGCTGTCAGAGACCTCTCCAAAGTACTTAACTTATTAGTAAACATTTTTTAAATCCCTACTGTAGTCCATTAAGCAACAGTAGACTTATGTCAGGGAGAGTGTGAGGTTAGTTCAAGATTGAATGGGGTTTCTTTCACTTGTACATAGTATTGCTATGAGGTGGAACTGAAGAAACAGCTCCTAACAAGAACAATTATATATTAATATTTGACTTGGAGGAGTGATCTTTGTTATCCCTATAGATATCATCAAGTAGGTAAATGAGTGCTCATAGAATTAATTTTTATTTCAATAAGCATAGATTTTAGTAAGTGTTTTTGAAAAGGATAGATCGCTAGAGAGTGGGATCTGAATCATCAGTAGGTAAAATTTGTCAAACTCTGTAGCTCAAAGGCAAGTTAACTGTTTATTAGGAGAATTTTCACATATACACAAAAAATAGAAAGAATAGCACTGTCAAGCTATACCCATCTTCTAGCTCCAACAGTTAGCAACTGAAATGTGATTGAGTACACTGAACTGTGATTAAGTAGAAAGAGTTCAGTAATGATTATACGGTCTCTAGCTTTTTATCAGGGAGCTCTGGTGTCCTAGTGGCAAGAAGCTTTGTTATGATCCTGAAGGCATGCAGTTCAAGGCACCAGCTGCTCCACAGGAGACGGATGAGCATTCTCCTCCTATATGATTAACTGCCTCTGAAAACCTGCTGGAGGGTCAGCTATGGTTGATTCCAACTCTGTGGTACACAACAACAAGAACTAGCTCTTTATCAGTGTTCCTATGATTTATTGCTTTTAATCTTCATATGTCAGCCTAGTTAGAATATAGTCTTCATTTCCTCATGTTAAATTTCTTTTGCTGTTTATTTTGAGGAATTCTGTCACCTTTTTTTTAGGACACTTTTTAAGAAATCACAATTTAAGATAGTTTTTTTTAAATCACAAAATAATATATGACTTTGTAACTTCTCTTTAGGAGAAAGTTAAATAGAATGAGTAGAATATATTCTGTTTCATTTTTATTTTTAAGGTTTGGCTTGAACAACAAGTTTGATACCGAATTTCCCTCAATTCTAACAGGAAAGGTAAGTAAGAGTTCACTTTGAAGTTTTCTATTCTAAAACTCTTGTTTTATGGATTATAAAATGCTATGATAAATGTTTTGGCCTATGGATAAGAAGTCAGGTAATAAGAGGCGAGGCTATCTAGAGGCTGTGTTGTTTGTGATACCAAGTTGCCACCATTGCTACTAGCCTATGGGCAATTATTTTGTTCAATCTTCAGTTATATCATTAGTTATTTATCTATTCAACCACAAATAGCTGGAATAATCTGTTTTGGTATTTGTCAATAATTTCCATTGTTTTAATATGTGGGTCCTTATTTTAACTTTGTATAATTCTAATGTTTCTTAAACATATCATAAGGTATATATATGAAAGGAGTTAAAAGTTTTGGTTTGATATTTTCTTACCTTTTATGTAGTATGAGCGTCTAAAATTGGACTCACTATAGTAATTTATTTATTATTAACTTTCTATTTCCTAGTTCTTTTACATATAGAAATATTTTCTGGTACTTGGAATTAAAATTTTCCAAGAACTTAAAATGGTTTAGAGAATCTTCCAGTAGTACTCCTCACTGTCTAGGTCCAAAGGAGAAGGTTTTCACTAACACAAAAATTTAATTATACTTTTGAAATTACTTCTTGCTGTTTGTTGTTGAGTCGAGTAGTGACCCTGTGAACAACATATCAGAGCCCTGTCCAATCCTTTGCCATCCTTACAATCTCTGACATAATTGAACCCATTACTGTAGTCACTGTGTCGATCCAGTTGGCTGAAAGTCTTCCTTTCTTTCTCTAACCCTCCACCTTTCTAAGCAAGATGTCCCTTTCCAAACAATAGCTTCTCCTAGCAACATGCCCAAAGTATGTGAGACAAAATTTTATCATCTTTGCTTTCAAGTAACACTCTGGCTACACCTTTTCCAAGGTTCTAATCTTTTGGCAGTCCAGGCCTTTTCTGCATCAATTAGTAAGATCATGTAGATCTTGATCTTTGCATTATTAATGTGATAAATTATACTGATTGCTTTTGTTATGTTGAATCATCTTGCATACCTGTTGTGAATCCTACTTGGTCATGGTGAATTATTTTTTTTGATATATCTTTGCATTATATTGGCCAGGACTTTTTCATCTATATTCATGAGATATATTGGCCTATAGTTTTCTTTATCTAACTTTGATATCAAGGATATGTTTGCTTCATAGAATGAGTCTGGGAGAATTCCATCTTCTTCTGTTTTCTGAAGTATTTTATGTAGAATTAGTTACAGTTCTTCTCTAAGTGATTGATAAGATTCACTTGTAAAACCATCTGGTCCAGGCCTTCTTTTGGTTGGAAAATGTTTTATTTCCTTTTCAAATTTTTTGTAATTGATCTGTTCAGGTGTTTGATTTTGGTCTGTGTCAGTTTAGGTAGGTTGTGAGTTTCTAAGTATTTGTCCATTTCCTCTAGGTTTGCTTATTTGTTTGAGTATAGTTTTTTCCATAATATTCCATTGTTAACCTTTTATTTAGTTGGTTCCATTGTGACATTGCCTGTTTCATCTTTTATTTGGATTATTTGTGTCTTTTCTTTCTTCTCCTTTGTTAGTTTTGCAAGTGGTTTGCCAGTTTTATTGACCTTTTCCAACTCCTGGTTTTGTTGATGGTTTCAGTTGTGTTTCTGTTTTCTATTTCATTTATTTCAGCCATAATTTTTATAATTTCAGATTTTTTAGAGTGTGTCAGGTTTTCTTGCTGTTCATTTCAATGTGTTTAGATGTTGAGTTAGAGAATAAATGGTCATTTTTTTCTTGCCTTTTGATGTGTTTGCTTATTGCTATAAATAGACCTCTGATTACTGCTTTGGCTGTTTCCCAGAGATTTTGGTAAGCAGTACTTTCATTGTCACTTGTTTTAAAGACATTTTTTAATTCTAGTTTTTATTTCAGCTATGTTGATGAGGGATATCAGCATATAGTTTTCTATTTTGGTGGTGTCTTTACCTAACTTTGGTCCCAATGATAAGTTTACTTCATAGTATGAGTCTACGAGAACTACATCTTTTTCTATTTTCTGGAATACTTTATGTAGAATTGGTGAAATTTCTTCTCTGAATGATTGATAAAATTCAGTACTAAAACCATCTGGTCTAGGGCTTTTCTTTTTCGGAAATCTTTTAATTTCCTGTTCAATTTCCTCTTCTTAATGGGTCTGTTCAGGTGTTTGGTTTTGGTCTGTGTTGGTTTAGGTAGGTTGTGAGTTTCTAAGTATTTGTCCATTTCCTCTAGATTTTCATATTTGAATATATTTTCCCATAATATTCCATTATTAACCTTTTTATTTTAATTGGTTCTGTTGTTACATTGTCCCTTTCATCTCTTATTTGGTTTATTAGCTTCTTTTCTTTGTTTTCTTTTGTTAATTTTGCTAGTGGTTTGTTGATTTAATTAACCTTTTGGAAAAACCAATTCCAAGTCTTATTGATTGTTTCCATTGTTTATATGTTTAATTTATTTCTGCTCTTTTTAAGAATTTCTTTGTTTTTAAGAGGGTGTTGGGTTTACTTGCTGTTCTTTTTAAACTTTTTGGAGATGTTTGCTTAAAGAATCAGTTATCAATTTTTTGTTTCTTTTGATGTGTTTGCATATTGCTATAAATTGACCTCTGATTAGTGCTTTGGCTGTTTCTCAGAGGTTTTAGTAAGCAATGTTTTCATTGTCGTTTGCTTTAAGAAACTTTTGTATTTCATTTTTTCTTTTATTACCCACTCATGTTCAAGCAGGGTGTTGTTCAGCTTCCAAATGTATGTTTTTTTTCTCTCTTCTATTATCTTGTTATTAATTTCAAATTTTGTAGCATTATGAATTTAGAAGATGCTTTGTATATTTCTATTTTTTTATGCTTACTTTGACAATCTTATTTGCTGAAAGTGAGGAGGACTTAAAGCACTTGTTGCAGAAAAATCAAGGAATGCAGTCTTTGGTATGGATTGCATCTCAATGTCAGGGAAACAAAGATTCTTACCACTGGATCAATAGGCCACATGATGATGGATGGAGGGGAGATTGAAACTGACAACAGTTTCATCTTGCTTGGATCCACAATTAACACCATTGGTACAAGCAGTCAGAAAATAAGGAGACACATGTATTGTACTGGGAAAATCTGCACTTAGAGACCTTCCCAAATTATTGAGGAGTAATGATGTCACCTTGAAGACTAAGGTGCATTTAATTCAGACCATAGTCTTTCTGATTACTAGCTATGCATCTGAGACCTGGACACTAAATAAGGATGACATGAAAAGAATTGATGCCTTTGAGCTGTGGTGTTGGAGAAGAGCACTGAACTGGTCTTTGGAGGCAAGAATTATGAGGCTTTGCCTCACATAATTTGGACATGTTGCTAGGAGGTGCTATTCCTTGGAGTGGGACATGATGTTGGGGGGGGTGGAGGGTTGGTGAGGGAGAGGAGAACCCTCAACACGGTGACTGCTGCAGTTGGCTCTTGTGTGTCAGGAAGTGTGAGAATGGCACAGGATAGAACAGGGTTCAGATCTTTTTTTCATAGGATCACTATGAATGATGCTCAACTAAACAGCACCTAAGCTCAGCAACAACAAAGCTTTGTGACCTAAAATGTGATCTGTTCTAGAGAATAATCCATGCACATTGTGGAAGAAGGTATACTGTGCTTTTCTGTGGTACATTATTCTGTATATATCTATGAGATCAAGTTGTTTAATCATGTGGTTTAATTCTTCAGCGTATTTGTTGAGTTTCTTTCTGGCAGTTCTATCTTTTCTTGGGAGTGGTGTATTGATTCGTCCTACTATTCTCTATGAATTTAGAGAAATGAACCAGATTCAGATCCTTTGTTCATAGGGTCGCTATGAATTGTGTTCGACTTGATAGTACTTAAGAACAAAAACAGCTACTATTGTAATATAGGGATATCACAATAATGTTTGTTTTGAATATTTTGTGTTTTTTTTT